GAAATCTCTGGCTGCCGTCAATTGCCCTTAAAGACGTGGAGAGTCAGTCTAAATAGGATTCATCGCGGTTCAGACTTCAGTTTTTCAGACTTTTATACCCCGTATAAAACTGTGATCGTCCGAGGTCTGTCTTCAGAAACAATATTAGTCTTAACATTAGACATGACATTAATTGTTTCTCGACCGTACCTCATATGTACACTGCGTATGAGATACTTGTAACTTTAGCATGTTTCTGTTGAAGGTCTACGAAAAAGAGTGATATTAAGAATAATGTTAAGACTAATTTAGTTTTTGGCAACAGGACCCAGTTTTCAACGTCTATACGCACGAGCGTGTCAGCGCACGCGATCGTACGGTTACGCCCTCTGCTGGCTATCAATATAACTAATGCAGAGAGCAAGCGCATTTCTTGCGCGTTTGTCAAAAAATGCTTCACTAACTCATCCCTGAACTTTTCATGCCCCTCCTTTAATTACACAATTCACTTATCCTCCTCAGCGAGTGGCAGTAGCATGATATACCAACCATTAGTGCACATGTCAAAATACTGTAATATATCAACGCACTAATCCGAATGTGGAGGGAATCGTGTGTGCGCAGCGGGATACGAACAGTTGCATATTTAATCAGAAACGAAAAACAATCTCAGCGGATGTAAATCTTGGCGATGATCACCAATCTTTATCTGCGTCTCTTATCACGTATACTCAGTTTCTATTATTGTGTTCGCGAAATGCTTATTGCTTCACCCCCCCCCAAAAAAAACTTCCGCCATTTAATGAATAGATTCCGCTCGTAACATTAATAAAACCAGTGGTAAACTATGACAAATATTTGTCAGTGGCAAATATATGTATTGAAAAATATGTGTCATTATTCGCCCCTGATAAAACCTACGACTACATTGACGTCAGTGTACACTCTCTATCGATAAGTAGCGGTTTGAGGGATGAGTATACAAGCCATCGCATGCATGCATGTATGGTTTTGTTCGGTTGAATGACAAAAAGTCCCGCGCGAATTGATCGCTCTATTCAGTGCAACAAACAGTAGAAAACATCGTAACAGTAGAAAACGTCATACGGGCCCAGCGCGCTTTATCCGGCTAAAACCTCGTAGCTATAATAATTCTTAGTAACATATGTATTTGCGGGCGAATTGTCAGCGGTAAATGCTCGCAGAACAGTGGGAAACCTTCCCGGGGAGATTGCCTTACATTATTTATAATCGCAAGCCGGAGAAAAGTCGGACGCATCGTGCAAGACCGTACCATCGTATCAGCGCGCATGCGCGCGTTCGTTCGCCGATGCAGCGCTGCTGCTGCCGCCGCGCCGCTGCTACTACTGGTGCTGCTACTGCTGCTGGTGCTGCTGGTGGTGCTGCCACTGCTAGCTGCTACTGCTGCTGGTGCTGATGCTGCTGCTGCTGCTACTGCTGCTGCTAATGCTGGTGCTGCTGCTAGTGCTACTGCTGCTGCTGCTGCTGCTACTGCTGCTGCTACTGCTGCTGCTACTACTGCTGCTACTGTTGCTGCTGCTGTTGCTGCCGCCGCTGCCGCCGCTGCCGCCGCCGCCGCCGCCGCCACCACCACCACCACCACCACTGCTACTGCTGCTTACACGGTGTTTTTCGTCGCTCACTCTTCACCCTCCCACCCCCTAGCGTACGTTCTCACGCACCTACCCTCTAGCGTTCGTTCTCACGCACCTACCCTCTAGCCTACGTTCTCACGCACCTACCCTCTAGCCTACGTTCTCACGCACCTACCCTCTAGCCTACGTTCACCCTCCCACCCCCTAGCGTACGTTCACACGCACCTACCCTCTTACGTTCGCAGGGCTTCGTGAACTGGACGTGAGCAGCAACGCGGACGTGACGTCACGCGGCTGGTCGCACCTCGCCATGGCGATCGCCTCGTCGTCCGTACTGCGCTCGCTCAGCGTCGCTCACGCAAACGTTGGCGACGCGGCCGCGTCGGCGCTGTGCGCGGCAGTAGCCGCCAGCGCCACCCTGCAGGCCGTCGACCTGGAGAAGACGGGCATCACCAACCGCAGCGCACTGGTGAGTCACGATGGGTGCGTGCGTGAGTCACAGCTCGCGTCGGCGATGTCCCTTCTCCACCTCCCCGACGATGTGTTCCTCCCCCTCCCCCGAACACACACGCCCCCCGGATGCGATACGGCGGCAGTTTGAGCGTGTGACACACGGGGGGAGAAGAGGGAGGCAATTATGCGCGGGTCTTTTTTATGGCGCGTGTGTCCCCTCCCTCCCCCCACGTCCGATTTCGGCCCTGGGATGCGGCGGCGGTTGAGTGTGTGATACACGGGGGAGGGGGAAGCAATTATGCGCAAATGATGTCTTCTTTTATCGCGCGTGCCGATTTCAGTCGACGGTGATTCAGTTTTGTTTGTTTAGGTCGTGGGTTATAGCTAGAGGAGGGCGTATATAGATATGTAGATATATAGGGTGGAGGTTTGTGGCTGTAGAACGTAGGGTTTATGGTAGAGGTTTGGGTGTGTAGGGTGTATGGTGGAGTTTTGTGGGTGTAGGGTGGAGGTTTGTGGGTGTAGGATGGAAGTTTGTGGGTGTGCGGTGGAGCTTTGTTGGTGTAGGGTGGAGGTTTGTGGGTGCAGGGTGGAGGTTTGTGGGTGTAGGGTGGAGGTTTGTGGGTGTAGGGTGGAAGTTTGTGGGTGTAGGGTGGAGGTTTGTGGGTGTATGGTGGAGGTTTGTGGGTGTAGGGTGGAGGTTTGTGGGTGTAGGGTGGA